CTCTCACTTTAAGTTTCCTACCACATATAACTGGATGTTGTTGAAAGCGGCGTTAAACCCAACTCACTCACTCACTCACTCACTCCACAAGGAGCAGACACGCCGTGGCATTATTGAAACACAGGTAAAACCCACCTCGCGCGATTTTCTAGAATTCATCTTGTTCCTTTACTCCAATGGTCAACGTACCAAAAATCCTTTCCGTTTTAATTTTTTTTGACAGGATTAAATGTAGTAGCAACAGTCACCAAGTCGAGGGGAGAAACACAGAGACACGCCCAGAGCAGACGAGGAAACCGCACACGTAATGCCATATTGGTGCACGGCTACCGCAAAACCAATAACCGAATGGAGCACAACGCGAATGATTTAAGGATAGGGGCTGTGAGCTGCTTGCCAGAGACAATATCAGTGTCCTTGCAGCTAATGAAGGACTCGCGGCTGTTGTGACATAGGATTACAGCGAGGACTACGCGGGTTCATCAAGCAAATAGCTCTTAGCAATGTGGATTACTGTAGTAAGTTCCTGGTGCCTCGGTCTGATATCCCATTTCAGCAGATCCGGTAACCTAGAAACAAGCTATTATATCAACATCTGTTTTTTTCATCTGAGTTACTTTAATTTCCTCTTCCACTTGAAAAAAATGACAGATTTCTTTTTTACGGCATTTAGCTAAACGATTACCCCTAGCTGTCTAGAAGTAATCTTATTGATATCTTCTCTTCGTGTTTGAAACATCTTTGTTTCCATGTTAATTATTTCTCAGCCGAATTTGTCCGATTATGAGGTGTTTTTTTCTGTTGTCTAATAAAAAAATGTCTTAACCACGTGAAAGGAAAGAATATATATGTTAATGTTTAAGACTGCTACCCACATATGATTTTTCTGTCTTCTCCAACTTCTGAAATGTAAATTAAGTGAGCGAGTGAATGCATGTCTGGTTTTATGATGGGTCCTTGAAATATAGGAAAAACTGTGACTGAGAGCTGGAGCACGTCCCACGTCATCAGGGTCTATGATGTCGCGCAATCAGGACCACCCCGTCTCTATTTTAATAAGTTTGGACTTCTAGCTGGGACCAAGCATGAGATACTAGCTGGGACCAAGCATGAGATAATAGCTGGGAGCAAGCTTAAGATACTAGCTGGGACCAAGAATGAGATACTGGCTGGGACCAAGCTTGAGATACTAGCTGGGACCAAGCTTGAGATAATAGCTGGGAGCAAGCTTAAGATACTAGCTGGGACCAAGAATGAGATACTGGCTGGGGCCAAGAATGAGATAATAGCTGGGAGCAAGCTTGAGATACTAGCTGGGACCAAGCTTGAGATACTAGCTAGGACCAAGAATGAGATACTGGCTGGGACCAAGCTTGAGATACTGGCTGGGACCAAGCTTGAGATACTGGCTGGGACCAAGCTTGAGATACTGGCTGGGACCAAGCTTGAGTTACTGGCTGGGACAAAGCTTGAGATACTGGCTGGGACCAAGCTTGAGATACTGGCTGGGACCAAGCTTAAGATACTAGCTGGGACCAAGCTTGAGATACTGGCTGGGATCAAGATTGAGATACTAGCTGGGACCAAGCTTGAGATACTGGCTGGGACCAAGCTTGAGATACTGGCTGGGACCAAGCTTGAGATACTGGCTGGGACCAAGCTTGAGATAATATATGGAACCAAGATTGAGATAATAGCTGGGGCCATGTTTTGGAAAATAGTTAGGACCAAGCATGAGATACTAGCTGGGACCAAGCATGAGATAATAGCTGGGAGCAAGCTTAAGATACTAGCTGGGACCAAGAATGAGATACTGGCTGGGACCAAGCTTGAGATACTAGCTGGGACCAAGCTTGAGATAATAGCTGGGAGCAAGCTTAAGATACTAGCTGGGACCAAGAATGAGATACTGGCTGGGACCAAGCTTGAGATACTAGCTAGGACCAAGAATGAGATACTGGCTGGGACCATGTTTTGGAAAATAGTTAGGACCAAGCATGAGATACTAGCTGGGACCATGCAAGAGATAATAGCTGGGGCCAAGCATGAGATACTAGCTGGGGTCAAGCATGAGATACTAGCTGGGACCATGCAAGAGATACTAGCTGGGACCAAGCATGAGATATCAGCTGGGGCCGTGCCTGGGAAAATAGTTAGGACCAAGCATGAGATACTAGCTGGGGTCAAGCATGAGATATCAGCTGGGATCAAGCATGCGATACTCAGCTGGGGCCAAGCATGACATATTACCCGGGGGCCAAGCTTGAGCTACTAGCTGGAACCAAGCTTGAGATGTTAACTGATGAGCATGAAATAATAGCTGGGACCATGCATGAGATAATAGCTGGGACCAAGCATGGGGTAATAGATGGGACCAAACATGAAATAATAGCTGGGACCAAGCATGGGGTAATATCTGGGACCAAACATGAGATAATAGCTGGGGCCACGCATGAGATACTAGGTGGGACCAAGCATGAGATAATATCGGGGACCAAGGACGGGATACTAGGAATCTAGCTGGAACCTAGTTTGAGCTAGTATCTAGGATCAAGCTTGAGATACTAGCTGGGATCAGGCTTGAGATACTAGCTGGGAGAAAGCTTGAAATACTACCTGGGACAGAGCTTGAGATTGTAGCTGGGACGAACCATGAGATACTAGCTGGAGTCAAGCATGAGATACTAGCTTAGATCAAGCATGAGATATTAGCTGCGACCAAGCAGTAGATAGTAGCTGGGACCAAGCATGAGATAATAGCTGGGACCAAGAACGACATACTAGCTGGGACCAAGCTTGATATACTAGCTTGGATCAAACATGAGCTATTAGCTGCGACCAAGCATGAGATAGTAGCTGGGACCAAGCATGAGATACTAGCTTGGATCAAGCATGAGCTATTAGCTGCGACCAAGCATGAGATAATAGCTGGGACCAAGCATGAGATAATAGCTGGGACCAAGAATGAGATACTAGCTGGGATCAAGTTTGAGATATTAGCTGGGACCAAGCTTGAGATACTAGCTGGGACCAAGAAAGAGATACTAGCTGGGGCCAAGTTTGAGATAATAGCTGAGAACAACCATGAAATACTACTTGGGACCCAGCATGAGATACTATCTGGGACCAAGCATAAAATAACAGCTGGGACCAAACATGAGATACTAGCTGGGACCAAGCTTGTGATACTAGCTGGGACCAAGCTTGTAATACTAGCTGGGACCAAGCTTGAGATACTAGCTGGAACCAAGTTTGAGATACTAGCTGGAACCAAGTTTGAGTTAGCAGCTGGGTCAAAGCTTGAGATAATAGCTGGGATCAAGCATGAGATAAAAACTGGAACCAAGCATGAGATAATAGCTGGGACCTAGTTTGAGCTAGTAGGTGGAACCAACTTTGATATAATAGCTTGGGCCAAGCAAGAGATAGTAGCTGGGACCCAGAATGAGATACTAGCTGGTACCAAGTTTGAGATACTAGCTTGGGTCAAGCATGATATACTAGCTGGGACCAAGCATGAGATAATTGCTTGGACCAAGCTTGAGATACTACCTGGGACCAAGTTTGAATTAGTAGCTGGGTCCAAGCTTTGGATAAAAACTGGAACCAAGCATGAGATAATAGCTGGGACCTAGTTTGAGCTAGCTGCTGGGATCAAGCTTGAGCTAGTAGCAGGGACCAAGGTTGAGATACTAGCTGGGACCAAGCTTGAGATACTAGCTGGGACCAAGCTTGAGAAGATAGCTGAGAGCAACCATGAACTACTACTTGGGACCAAGCCTGAGGTAATAGCTTGGACCTTGTTTGATCTAGATGCTGGGACCTTGTTTGAGCTAGTTGCTGGGACCAAGCCTAAGATAATAGCTGAGAGCAATCATGAAATACTACTTGGGACCAAGCCTGAGATAATAGCTGGGACCTTGTTTGAGCTAGTTGCTGGGACCAAGCCTAAGATAATAGCTGAGAGCAATCATGAAATACTACTTGGGACCAAGCATGAGATACTAGCTGGGACCAAGCATGAGATACTAGCTTGGACCAACCATGGGGTAATAGCTGGGACCTAGATTGAGATACCAGCTAGGACAAGCTTTAGATACTAGCTGGAGTCAAGTATGAGATATTACCTTGGACCACGCATGCTATACCAGCTTGGACCAAGCATGCTCCACAAGCTAGGACCCTTATATGTTCTTTACGGAAACAAGAATGTCCAATTTTTTGTCCATGATTATGCCTGAATGTACGTCCATATTCCTGCTTGTTGGCAAGTCCCATTTCTTATTTCACTGTCCATAGTTATGCCTGCATGCACGTCCATATTTCGGTGGAGTAGCCAAGTTGTTAAAGCGTTTGCTATTCGCGCCGAATTCCCGGGTTTGATTCCCCATATGGGTGTAATGTGTGATGGTCATTTCTAGTTTTCCCCGCCGTGATATTGCTGGAATATTTTTAAAAAAACGGCGTAAACCGTACTCACTCACTTAAGGGAGCACGGATGGCTCAGTTGTCATAGGTATGCGGTTCGAATATCTGTTTGTCATGCTTACGTTCCTAGGTTTATCAGCACTAAAGTGGTAAACGTCAAAGACCTGTATCATTTCTGTCTGTCCTCCCACATCAATCTTATACGCCTGGATATAATTAATTTCATTTAGATTGAATTGAAACTCACTCACTCACTCACTCACTCACTCACTCACTCACCCACCCACCCACTCACTCACTCACTCACTCACTCACTCACTCACTCACCCACCCACCCACTCACTCACTCACTCACTCACTCACTCACTCACTCACTCACTCACTCACTCACTCACCATATGAACCTTCCCGCTTATACGGGTACTTACGGTACGCCCTGCCCTCTCCTCAACACAATCCTACCCGACTAGGAGTGCTTGGCATTCCATCCGGGCATTTGTATGTCATGTCTACATCACAACTTGGTAGGTAAGTGTCGAGAGGTCATCTGTTATCGCGCGTACAGCCGTAGAACATTATCATTCTGTTTTAGCCCCGACGCAGTTTGAACCGGGCTTGGAAGTTGTTTGCAAGGTATACACTGACGGTGATTTATATGAATGTGAGATTGAACGTTAGCACCAGGGTGTCATTGTTGGGTTAATGTATATGGAACGTCTAAGGACATGCAGATATCAAGTTGTCCTTGTCGGAGTAATGATAGATAAATTATCGTGAAACTACGTTTCTAGATGTGCACTTGAGGATTTCGGGCAGGGCTTCAATACGGACTCAGGAGCCTTAACCACGTGACATAAGTATAAATCGACGTCATCACCTTGCACACCCGATAACATTGTCAATATCGCTGAACACAACGTTGCCGGGTAGTACATGCATCCTTTCATCTTCAGCCCCAGCTTGCATCCGCTGCCATAACCGCCATGACGAAGGACAAGTCCCAGCACTTCTGTAGCACCGTCAAATGTCAGTGCTTAGTGTTCCTGCTGACGGCGGGATGTATCGCCGCTGCCGTGTGCGTAGCCCTTCTGTCGACGGCGGTGAGGGGACGCATGCCGCCGGACATGGAGTGGTGGCAGACGACGATAATCTATCAGATCTACCCTCGTTCCTTCATGGACTCTAACAACGACGGGATCGGTGACATCAGAGGTAAGACGCACATCCATAATTATCATATACACAGTTTCAGTAGAAATCAAATACGACATCCATGGCCTATTTCAACGGGAGATTAAATTAACAAGAGTCATCCGAAGATGACATATCCCCCCGACGTGGCATGTCGGTAAACTGTGTGTACCTTCAAATGTATTTAGATTGGCAAGGACATCCTTTTCTTTGAAGCCAAAACCAGAAATATAATGAAGGTTATTAAATATTGGTTCATGTAGCTCACTTTCTGATGATCTCATGAAATAGGAATAACAATTACTTCGCAGATTCGCTTATGAATAGCTCTGTAGTAGCCTCATGACACAAAGGCATAAAGAGAATGTACTAGGCTATGTAGCTCACATCATATATAGTATGTGATATCGGTAAGTAGTACACCTTAGAATTATATGTCAGGGGCTACAAATTAAAAAGATTAAAATCTATAAATAACAAACTGCACTGCTAGTGAACATGACTGATATGTGCATAAAGTTTGGTGAAACTCTGTCGCATGGTTTAGAAGATATGCTCCAGACGAGGACATTACCCTAAGTTCATCAATTTTCAATTTAAATTGAAAAAAAAGAAAAAAAGAAAAAAATCTGTTAATAGCAAAGGCACCACTACAAAGCCTGCTTGATAGGTGTAAAAACTTTTGAGAAGCTAAGTTGTATGGTTCGGGAGATATGGTCCGGACAAGAGCACTACCCTCAAAATTCCTAAGTTCATAATATTTCCATGGAAACGACAAAAATATAAAATTTTAAAAATCTCTAAATAGCAAAAGGTACTTCTACTGAGCCTGATTGGAAAGTGTACCAAGTTTTGTGCAGCTAGGGTGTATGGTTTAGGAAATATACTCCGGACAAACAATGATTACAGACGGACAGACGGACATACTGATGGCTATATCCCCCCGTCATTATAGGTATAAACAATGTACAGGTAAATATGTTTACATGTTTAGATCTATGCTTCGCGGAAAGGTTATCTTATGTCATGAAAAACTTTGGATATCCACACTACGTGTGCACAGGTGACCTTGACCTTAGATTACATAGCTCTGATAACACCAGCAAGATATAGCCTCTTTGATGTAGTAATGGTAGTAGTCTTTTACAGTACTGGCTTGATATATGTCACTGTTGGTTATTACATAGGCTTCAAAGAATTTTTGTTTCAAAGCATATACCTGGCATCTTTCGTAAAACGCCATATTTTGGAAATATGTTAATATACTTACAGGAGCTCAGGTGCTAATGCGTTGAAGTGTATCCCATAGAGATGTTACCATACAGACGTTACTATACTTACGTTACCATACAGGTGTTACCACACACACGTTACCACAAAGACGTTACGATACAGGCGTTATCATACAGATGTTACCACAAATATGTTACCACACAGACGTCACCACACAGACATAACCATACAGACGTTACCACACAGACGTTACCATACAGACGTTACTATACAGACATTACCACACAGACGTTACCACACAGACGTTACCACACAGACGTTACCATGAAGACGTTACTATACAGACATTACCACACAGACGTTACCACACAGACGTCACCACACAGACGTTACCATAAAGACGTTACCATACAGACGTTACCACACAGACGTTACCTTGCAGACGTTACCACATAGACGTTACCACACAGACGTTACCGCGCAGACGTTAGCACACAGACGTTACCATAGGCGTTACCAAACAGACGTTAGCACACAGACGTTACCACAAAGACGTTACCATACAGACGTTACCACACAGCTGTTACTATACAGACGTTACTATACAGATGTTACCATACAGACGTTACCACACAGCTGTTACTATACAGACGTTACTATACAGATGTTACTATACAGACGCTACCATACAGACGTTACCACACACACGTTACCACACAGACGTTACTATAGAGACGTTACTATACAGCTGTTACTATACAGACGTTACTATACAGATGTTACTATACAGATGATACCACACAGACGTTACCACACAGACGTTACCACACAGACGTTACTATACAGACGTTACCACACAGACGTTACCACACAGACGTTACCACACAGACGTTACCACACAGACGTTACTATACAGACGTTACCACACAGACGTTACCACACAGACGTTACCACACAGACGTTACTATACAGACGTTACCACACAGACGTTACCACACATACGTTACCACACAGACGTTACCACACAGACGTTACCACACATACGTTACCACACAGACGTTAACACACGCCGTTACCATACAGACGTTACCACACAGACGTTACCACACATACGTTACCATACAGACGTTACCACACAGACGTTACCACACATACGTTATCACACAGACCTTACCACACAGACCTTACCACACAGACGTTACCACACAGACGTTATCATACAGACGTTACCACACAGACGTTACCACACAGACGTTACCACACAGACGTTACCACACAGACGTTACCACACAGACGTTACAGACATAGTACCGGGCGTGGGACATAACCAAAGTACACGTTTATTGACGAAACATTGACCAAAATACACATCAAGGAACTTTCGTTTTAGGCGTTGTTGTTAAACACATAAATAAGTCCGATATTACATAATCGTGCCCATCGTGAACATCCGGGTTAGACTCGCTCTTCAGCAACTCATGCTTGTCGTAGGGGCGACTAACAGGCTCGGGTGGTCAGAATCGATCAGTTGATTGATGTATGTTATCGTATCCAATTTGCGAGGATCGATGCTTTTGATATCAGTCACTAGATTGTGCGGTCAAGACTCGATTATTACATACGCCGTCATAAAGCTAGAATATTGCTGAGTACGGCGTTAAACAACAAACAAACAAACAAACTTTTTAATGATTTTAGTAATATTCCATGAAGAGTGTATATATGTAACGGACGTCGTGTCCCAGTACTGAACTCTTCATTTGTTTGCACACAGTCGCTGATAAACACGGCACACAAACACAACACCGGTACGCTCCAAGCCCACAGTCTATCTGTCATGTCGATTGTCACACGTGCTCCCCCTTCTACAGAGCAGTCTCGGGACGAAAGAGGTTTTGATTTGAATTGTCCAGACCCCAAGCATTAGTATCTAGGCTAGGGCAGTGCGCACCGTACATAACCTATTAACAGTCGCACGAATAACAGCTGGCCTTTTTGGCTATAACGGAATTATCCCCATATTTTACGAACAAAATTATCAAAATTGTGACATGAAGGTATGGTGGTGGAGACTGGGTGTCGATCTTCTAGAATGGGGTTTCTCACAGAAAACGTGTTCATTGTTACCACCCATACTGCCATCATTCACAACTGACTGTCACATCAGTGAGTGAGTGAGTATGGTTTTACGCCGCTTTTAGCAATATTCCAGCAATATCACGGCAGGGGACACCAGAAATGGGCTTCACACATTGTACCCATGTCGGGAATCGAACCCGGGTCTTCAGCGTGACGAGCGAACGCTTTAACCACTAGGCTACCCGACCACCCCGACTGTCACATCAGGAGGCTTGGGGTAGGGACGTTTCCAGGGTTATATGCATGCAAAGGAAACCCATTGTCCATAGCACGCTTCCAAATACTAGTATATCATAAGCGTATGTTTATGAATCACTATCAAATAGTGATGACACCTGGTGTTCGCGAAAAGGTGCGCACCGATCACAAATACATGCAAAGGTAAGGCAAGTGCTCACCTGTTAAATATCGAGTTTTGTTTAAACCACTAACATCACTGCAGCTCAATCCGAAAAGTTACTTTCGAGAAACTGTCACTTTAATAGCATTCCGTTTTTGACAAAAAATGTGATTGAGAGAGCACCATTCAACACATTCGTAATGGGCCAGGACCGGGGCTGAACAGAGTTGGGTCACGTCGATACCTGTTGTTTTCTCAGACAATAAACTGTCACCACATACTCTAGTAATTATCATTCTTGTAATGATGAAAGCTTCAATAATCAGACAAATAATCAGATAATAGACAAAGCCTATTATATTCAATAATCAGATTAGCAATCAACATAGCATGTCATTTCTGTTAATGGCCGATGCCAATTGCCATCAATAGAGATGTTCCCGTTAAAAAAATAAATACGTTCGGTATTACATTACATAACCATGCGATCGCGAAGATCTGGGTTAGAATTGGTCTTCATCAACCCATGCTTGTCGTAATTGGCGACTAACGGGATCGGGTAGTCAGGCTTGCTGACTTGGTTGATGCATGTCATCGTATCCCAAATGCGTAGAACGATACTCATGATGTCAATCACTGGATTGTCAGGTTCAAACTCGAATATTTACATATAGTCTGAATATTGCTTAGTGCGGACTTAAATAAGCAACGAACAATATGACCGAAGAATGTATCGGTATCCTGAACAGAAAAACAAACCGTGAAAATTCCGAAATGGACCAAAACCTATAATTCAATCGTAAGCTGAAGTTACATTGCCCAAAGACGTCTTCGTCGCCCAATGACGCCCCGAGACAGGGTGCAATTGAGTGAGTGAGTGAGTGAGTGAGTGAGTGAGTGAGTGAGTTTGGTTTTACGCTACTTTTAGCAATATTCCAGCAATATCACGGCGGGGGACACCAGAAATGGGCTTCACACAGTGTACCCATGTCGGGAATCGAACCCGGGTCTTCGGCGTGACGAGCGAACGCTTTAACCACTAGGCTACCCGACCGCCCCTTGGATCCTGTGTCATTGCTGGGTGACATTGCTGTTAGTTATGTTCTTTGCTCTACGTTGTAGGCATCATCAGCAAGCTGGACCATTTCACTTATCTCAATGTCAAGGCCATCTGGATCAGCCCTGTCTATGAATCTCCCATGAAAGATTTCGGCTACGACATCAGCAACTTCACCAACGTCGCCCCCATCTTCGGCAATCTCACCGACATGGCAAATCTCATAGAAGAGGCACACAAGAGAGGTAGACTTCATGTGCCAGCATGTCATGGCATGAGAGATTAACTATTGTAATATGGAAGAATGAGGTGATCCTTAACTTCTTTTGAGTAGTATACTTTCGCCTATAGTAACTCACTGTGCCATGCCGCGTCACCAGCAGACCAAAGTTTGAGCATTAGACTGGAAGCAGCCTTCATTAAATTACGGTGGCATATAAATAAGATACCAGATGACCTTAAACAAGCAAACAAAAAATGCAACAATAAAAGTAAAAAAATTCAAACATTTTTCACAAAAAGTTCCAGAGTTTTAAATGCATGCGGAATGAGTGAGTATGGTTTTACGCCGCTTTTAGCAAATTCCAGCAATATCACGGCGGGGGACACTAGAAATAGGCTCCACACATTGTACCCATGTGGGAAATCGAACTCGGGCCTTCGGCCACTAGACTACACCGTAGAAGGGCCAAACTTTTTCCACCGATTTCTTTTTTTATGAACAAATTATCACAGGTAGAATGTTGATCAACATTGGTTGACGGAAGGATGCCTTTTTGCTTTCAAACACTTGGAAACTTTTGCACTTCTGGTGTGATCACATATATAACAATAACTAAAGTAAGAGAGAAAAAGGCCAATTTTTCAAACTTCAAGACGACTAGCAGCAAATCCATAGAAAAATCGGGCCATGGACCTGCTCATGTTTATATGTTTAACTCATGCTTCCTGCAAACCTCTCACAGCAGCCTTTGAATACATTTCAACCTTACATATATAGTCAAACTCCGTTGTGTCGAAGTTGAAATAATTTGAGTTATCCGAGGTTCGATACAACCGAAAGTGATGAATAAAGAAGGAATATGCAGGAGCCAAGCTTTTACTTCGCGATAACCGTAAGTTCGACACATCAAAGTTCGAGACAACGGTGTTTGACTGTATTTAGTGTTGTTATTAGGCGAAGACATACATATTGTTGAAATGAACAAAGTCTAGTTCTCATTCATCTGAATACATCTGGCAACGTTCATTACAATTTCGTTCATTTCTTAATTTACGCATGTCCTGTGGGCGAAATGAGCCCTTGTTATATCTTGTATTTTCTTTCGTTAATCGAAACTATTTCAGTCCGGATTAACGAGGGTTCACTGCATTTAAATGAGGCACAGGCTGTAAATTATTAAGAATATATGAACAATGACGAGTTGAGAATGAAAGAAGTGAGTGGGTTGAGTTTAACTATGTACAATAACAATGCAATCGTTATATTAAATAGTTTATCCTTAACCAGTTACATCGTCAGCAATCATTTAAGAAGGCCAGTTTGCGGATTTTAAAGACTACGTTGTATTAACTACAGTACCATCAGTAATACATTATGGGTTATTTTCTGTTCGAGACTAGCGGGTCGATAGGAGTTATTTTCGGTTCGACACAAGCGGGTCGATAGGAGTTATTTTCGGTTCGAGACAAGCGGGTCGATAGGAGTTATCTTCGGTTCGAGACAAACGGGTCGATAGGAGTTATTTTCGGTTCGGGACAAGCGGGTCGATAGGAGTTATCTTCTGTTCGAGACAAGCGGTCGATAGGAGTTATTTTCGGTTCTAGACAAGCGGGTCGACAGGAGTTATTTTTTTGGTTCGAGACAAGCGGGTCGACAGGAGTTATCTTCGGTTCCGAGACAAGCAGGTCGAAAGCAGTTATCCTTTGTCTTTGTACAACTTGAGGCCAGTATTGTTCCTTGCTCATTTCTGTTTTATATTCTAACTTTGTTTACTAATCAACTTTAAACGCGCATAGATTTCTTTAAAATGAAAGATGGTAACTCTGCGGGAAGCCTTTGTACAAATTGTGACCAGTATTGAATCTTTGCTCCATTATTTTTTATTCTGACTTTGTTTACTTATGAACTTTAAAAGCGGATAGATTTCATTTAAACTGAAGTGTGATTTGTTGTATGACACGTGAACACACAGGAGCGTTTTGTACTCTTGATCCAGTTTGTTAATTTGTTTACTTCAGGTTTGAAGGTGATCTTAGACTTCGTCCCCAACCACTCCAGCAACCTCCATATGTGGTTCAACGAGAGCGTGAAGGGGACCCCACGTTATAAAGACTACTATGTCTGGAGGGACGGGATTGCGGGTCCCAATGGAACACACTCGCCGCCAAATAACTGGGTGAGTTGGAAACTGGTTGGTGGTGTTTATGTGAAAGTGAGCCTCCAGTTCTCCCAGCATCTAGTAATTCCCCACTTTCAGTTATCTCATGACCCCTTATTTCCCCACTTACAGTTATCTCATGACCCCTTATTTTCCCACTTTCACTTATCTCATGACCCCTTATTTCCCACTTTCCAGTTATCTCCGTTATCTCCTCTCCCCTTTTTCCCCCACTTTCCAGTTATCTCCTGCCCCCTTATTTCCCATTTTCCAGTTATCTCCGTTATCTCCTGACCCCTTTTCCCCCCACTTTCCAGTTATCTCATGACCCCTTATTTACCCACTCTCAGTTATCTGGTTACTATGTATTTCCAATTTTTATTTTTCACATGGCGTCTTATATCCCCTCTTTCAGTTATTTCCTGACCCCTTACTTCACCATTTTCAGTAATCTCCTGACCATTTATTTCCCCTTTTTCAGTTATATATGAACCCGTATTTCCTTTCCCTAAGTTATCTCATCACCCTATATTTCCCCCTTCCAGTTGTCTCATGACCCCGCATTTCCCCACGTTCAGTTATTTCATGACCATACTTACTCATACATACTTACAAAATTTAAGTCTGCTCGTGACCTCGTACTTCCCCACTTTCAGCTCTCTGTCTTCAAGAACTCCGCCTGGGAGTGGAATGAAGAGAGGAAACAATATTACTACCACGCCTTCCTGAAGGAGCAGCCCGACCTCAATTACAGAAACCCGGCCCTTGTTGAAGAAATGCAGGTAGGTGGCAGACCCGTTCATGTTAAATATAATCGGCTCAGGCGACTTCCGTGTTGTAGGTGGGTAAGTTGGGTTTAACGCCGCTTTTAACAGTATTCCACTTATATCGCGGCGTGTCAGCTTAATGTGGAAAGCAGGTGATGCAGGTCTCAGACGTTTACCACTTCGGTGAAACCCACGAGCACGGGTATGGTGCTGACAAACCTAGAAACATAATCGGGGCGAACCGGGATTCGAACCCACAATCATAGGTTTCTGGCGTGCCCAAGGGACGCAACTCTGCAGAGCGAATCGCGGCGCCTTAGACGACTGGACCACGGGTGCCCCCTCCGTGTTGTATTGGGGGTGAGGGGGGGGGCACGCCCAGGCCAAGGCCCCACCCACCTCAGCTAGAATATCAAATGATCGGTCCCTTAGACCGATGCTTCAACCAGTACCTCTCGTACCCTGGTAGTACTGTCTTGCATTATTTGTGTTTGTAGAATGCCTTGCGCTTCTGGCTGGAACGGGGTGTGGATGGGTTTAGGATAGACGCCCTGCCTTTCTTGTTTGAGGTGACCAATACCTCCTGGAACGAACCCTTGAGCAACAGGACAGATTTAGACCCTGTAAGTGTAGTCTTTACATACACTTAGACCATGTAAGTGCTTCTCCACATACACACTTAGACCCTGTAAGTTTAGTCTCTACATACACTGAGACCATGTAAGTGCTTCTCCACATACACACTTAGACCCTGTAAGTTTAGTCTCTACAGACACACTTAAACCACATGAATGTAGCATCTACAGACATACCTAGATCTTGGAAGAGCGCTGTAAGTAAAGCTGAGATCGCCAGAGTTGTCTACACTGGAGACACGCTTCGACCCTATCAGGATGACTGTCGTTGTTGTCCTCTAATATCGAGACGTTTATTTCTTTTTAATAATATTGTGTCTGTTTTAAAAGTACTTGTCATTCGGCCGAAAGGAAAAGACGACACTACTGATTAATTAATGAAGGTCTAACCTTAGTATGATGTTGTTTCCAAGACACAATACGACTACCTCACGCACCCCTACACGCAGAACTTGATGGATGATATGTACAAAGTGTTGGCTGGCTGGAGAGACGTGTTGGACGAGTACGAGAACTTGGACGATAAGCGTAGGTGAGTTCCATGGCTGTCATGGTGATCCATGTTAGACGACTACCGGAACCGGAACGAGAATCATAGGTGAGTTAAATAGTCACCATAGTGACACGTGTGGGACGAGTACCAGAACTTGAACGATAAGCCTAGGGGAGTTAAATAGTCACCATAGTGACACGTGTGGGACGACTACCAGAACTTGAACGAGAAGCTAAGGTGAGTTAAATAGTCGCCATAGTGACACGTGTTAGACGAAACCGGAACTTGAACGAATAGCTGAGGTGAGTTAAATAGTCGCCATAGCGACACGTTTTAGTCGGCTACCGGAATTTGAACAAGAAGTTAATGTGAGTTAAATAGTCGCCATAGTGATACGTGTGGGACGACTACCAGAACTTGAACGAGAAGCTAAGGTGAGTTAAATAGTCACCATAATGACACGTGTTAGGCGGCTACCAGAACTTAACGAGAAGCCTCAGTGAGTTAAAAAGGCGCCATAGTGACAAGTGTGGGAAGAGTACCAGAACTCGAACTAGAAGCTAATGTGAGTTAAATAGTCGCCATAGAGACACGTGTTAGACGGCTACCGGAACTTGAACGAGAAGCCTAGGTGATTGTAAGCAGCCATACACGGGTACCGTCGTGTACCATGGGACTTACTATCTGCGAGGTATAGTGGAGACTCCAGCATCTAAAACCAATAATGCACTGCAGTCATTCTGGCCAGTGGAACTTATTCAAGAATTATTCCATGGTGCCATTTCATTCCTCAGGTTCATGGTTGTAGAGGCCTACACAAAGACGACGGCTGAGAGAATTGCGTGGTACAAGTCTGCGGCTGACATGCCCTTCTATTTCGGCCTCCTCAACATCAACAAGGCCTGTGGTGGCTCCTGCATCCGCGACATCGTCGACGAGGCATATAAGGACCTGCCCGCAAACGCTTGGGCCAACTTTGTTGTAAGATTTAATGAGTTATTGTGAGAGTTATTCCAAAACATTTATTGTTTGAAGATTGGTTTGTTTGTTGACATGGTTTGTTGACGATTAATGAAATAACACAAGGTAAAGTCGCATAAGTCATATTTAAGAAATAAACGACGAGTGGGAGTTGTTGATCGTACAATATAACACTGCAGGGATTATAAACCATGAGGGGCGCAGTATTTCATTATGTACAGCCTCTTTAAGGATGTTGATAAAATGTACAAGCTTTAAAAATAGTAACCTTAATTTAAATAATGATGACTCCCTGAATAGAATCCGACATGGATACACCACTCAGACACTGTGACAGTATACTGACTAACACATACGCACGCACGCACGCACGCACGCACGCACGCACGCACGCACGCACACACACTACACACACGTGTTCGATGCTATGTAAGTGCAATAATCTTGAACGCGACGTTAAATCACATGTGAATTATATAATAAATATAGCAAACGGTGGTTGTCAAGTACTATGTTTTTTTGATAGCATGGTGAGATTTATCGGATATTTTACAAAGTGTCCGTTTCATATCCAGTTTTGATTGAAATATCTCACAACTGTGATTTTTAATCATTATGAAGAAAATTACGCCTTGTTTATATATCTTAATAATAAGGGCCAATATGGTTGGACAATTCTAAATTAAATTTTGGTATTGAACGATATTGATTATTGAAGAAATTTTTGACATATTCATGAAATTACACTTAGCGCTGAATACGTGCACACGTTCCGAGTATATCACCTCTGTTATGTGGGGATAGCGCTGTTTTGCATTTAGTAAACAGGATAATCGTATTGTTTTTATTTAAGAGATATGTTTTATATATGAATATGTGTATGCTATCAAATGTTCAAACGCAGCATATGCTTGTAAAATTAAACCATAAATAATCGCCTTGACACTTGCAAGCGTATCTTGTCGAAGAGAAGTTATTGTGTAGACACAGCAAATGTAAACAGAATATACAAATACAGTCTATAGTAAATAATACATTCTAAGACGAGCTAGTCACAAAATAACAAATGTGGGACAAGATCTCTTATTAAATTCGCGGATTGGAAGAACAAAGATAAAAGTACCGGATCAACGCATACCTCCATTCCAAAGACAGGCCGGAAACGTCAATACTATTTACGGAATGTGCCGGGCAAAGGAAAGTATACATGAGTTTTAAAATATGGTGGCAAAAATGAAACAAATAAAAATGGTTATTCGATGGTGATTAATTTAATACGGGTATCACAGTTGTGTTTTTGACCTAAATTCGCTGTGTTTCAGCGACTGTTTTCAGCCTAGTAACGTTTGGATAACGTTTGTATTTGTTTGGTCAAATCCAATTTTCAAATGTATACTTTCTTTTGCACGGCGGTGTATGTCACATTATAGAATGCTAAGTGTAATCTAGGGGTTTAAGAGGACTCCAGGCATCCCCAAATGAAGGAAAGAGTGTATAATGAGAAAATATACTTTTTTCTTTATTTTATTTTACCCTTGAAGTAATATAAATGCGTGCGGTATGCAAGACACCCCGATGCTTTGTTATCATTGGATGCGCAGGTGCAGATCGGTGCACAACAAACGGACTTTGACGTTAAAAGCATTAAACGGGGCATCGCTACAGAACAAAGGATGATAATGAGTTCATGTCATCGCGAAGACCAGGGTTCGATTCCTCAATGTGTACAATGTGTTCAGCATATTCCTGGTGTCCCCGTCGTGATACTGCTTGAATATAGCTAAACGCCGCGTAAAACCACACTCACTCACTCATGTCATCGGATACCGAAATTGAAACCTGAATTTGTCCAGCTGTTGTACACATTGATCTACGCAGCCGGGAAAAACGTTTTGAAATATCCGCGTAACAACAACAGTATCTAACGGGACTCGTTTTAAATAGAATTCCTCATTTCGTATAAAACTGAAAATCAAAATTGAATTATTGTCATAACGTTTGAGAAAATGTTGAGAAAAATAAACTAGAAAAACAACAAGGATTAAGATATTACAAATGAAATTTTGCAGATTTCATGATTATACAGACTGTTTTAACTGTCTTGATTTTAGTTTGGTAACCATGACAACCGGCGTGTCTCGACGAAGAAGGGCCCTGAGTTTGTCAATGCCCTCAACATGTTGCTGCTGACGTTGAAGGGGACTCCGACCACGTATTACGGCGAGGAAATCGGTATGCTGGACGTGAACATAACCTACAATCAGTCAGTCGACCCTCAGGGCAAGGTTTACAACGAGGTAAGCAATATGCATATACGTGATGGAACCTTGTTTATCTGGACCTTGGTAAGCCCCGTCCCAGACCTGCTAGTGTTACAGGTCTCACGCGTATACCACTTGGATGAAACCCACGAGCACGGGAATGATGCTGTCAAACCTAGAAACATAATCGGGGCGAACCGGTCAGGACCAGGCAATAATTACTTCAATTCAAACATCCGATATAGGAAGCTCGTTTAATAGTATATTGTATGATACGTTCTGCTGTTTCCAGTCAGTGTTTTTGAAGTATTCCCGAGACCCTGAGCGCTCTCCGATGCAATGGAGTAACGACACGATGGCCGGCTTCACCAACTCTACCACATCATGGCTCCCTGTTGGCAGCAACTACCGCACCATCAACGTGGAGGTAATAAACGTGTTACATATGTGTTGGCTGACAGATGCATTTGGGGCCGCGGGGTAGTCTAGTGGTTAAAGTGTCCGCTCGTCAAGCGGAAGACCCAGGTTCGATTCCCCACATGGGTACACTGTGTGAAGCCCATTTCTGGTGTTGTATATTGAACGACGTCACTATAGCAATGTAATCATAGCTGACGTAAAACAGACACCGTTGTATATTGAACGACGTCACTATAGTAATGTAATAATAGTTGACGTAAAACAGACACCGTTGTATATTGAACGACGTCACAATAGCAATGTAATCCTAGCTGACGTAAAACAGACACCGTTGTGTATTGAACGACGTCACAATAGCAATGTAATCCTAGCTGACGTAGAACAGACACCGTTGTTGTACATTTAACGACCTCACAATAGTAATGCAATCAAAGCTGACGTAAAGCAGGCACCGTTGTATATTGAACGACGTCACAATAGCAATGTAGTCATTGCCGACGTAAAACAGACACCGTTGTATATTGAACGACGTCACAATAGTAATGTAATAATAGTTGACGTTAAACAGGCACCGTTGTATATTGAACGACGTTACAATAGTTATGTAATCATTGTTGACGTAAAGCAGATACCGTTGTATATATAACGACGTCACAATAGCAATGTAATCATTGCTGACGTAAAACAGGCACCGTTGTATATTGAACGACGTCACAATAGTAATGTAATAATAGTTGACGTAAAACAGACACCGTTGTATATTGAACGACGTCACAATAGCAATGTAATAATAGTTGACGTTAAACAGGCACCGTTGTATATTGAACGACGTCACAATAGTAATGTAATCATTGCTGGCGTAAAACAGACACCATTGTTGTCTATTTAACGACGTCAAATGAGTAATGTAATCATTATCGACGTCAGTGTTACTTTCTCTGGCCGGTTTTCAAAATGCAAATTAGGACTAGAACTCTACAGCTTATTATAAAAAGAGGATACTAAATAGATTATTCCAGTCGCGTATGTAACCTTCTGATCTTACAAGTTTTGTGAACTTGTGTCACAATGTTTGTAATATTTAGAGAATAACGTATCAGCTGCGAGGATGAACGGGTTATTTGTCCATCGTGAATTAACTGTGTAAGTTTCCAGTTTCGAACATAATTCCCAAAGGATAGATAGTTCGTAATTCCATGTTGCATGTATAGAATCCAGGGACACTATGATGTTTCGTGGTGTGCTTCAGTGCAGTTTACGGGACAAACTCAGGTTTGCCGATTTATGTTTACAAACATCAGTTTGTCTGTATGAACATTGTAAAAACAGCTTGCAAGCTAGTTTGTTAGGATTGACAAATTGTTGGAGAGAAACAGAATCCGTCTCTATTCTCACCGATATTTTGATCAACAATTTATTGTTTTCAAACTCGATTTTGACCAGTGAGTGGTTGTCAAACACATGTCAGTCGTTTGTTGCAAAATGGCGTCAGCATTTGGAAGTGGAGAGCTAAATAACAACACAATTTTTGTTGACAAATTTTAGCAAGCATCCTCGTGCTTTAACTGTAATAGTTCAGGGCAAAACTTTATTTTATTACACTACACATGAGGGTAGAGCAAACTTTATTTCTTAAATTTGTGTTACCCATATGTGACGTCATGAACAATGGATGACGTCACCTCCATTAAGTTGAGACAATGCGTAATGTGACGTCACGTCACTACTTCTTCGTAAACAATGACAAAATGGAACAATTTATACGAACCATGAAGCAAACATTGTAATTCTCTGTGAGAATTTCTAAAAAATTATTATTTTAAATTATTATTTCACCTGTATCTGTGGCCCTATGGATGCTATCCTCTATATAGTTCACGGGTGTGTATTTCAGACTGAGAAGGACGCGGAGGGCTTCAGCACTATCAAATTGTACCGCACCCTGGCTAAACTACGGGAAGAACCACCCTTCAAATACGGGCTATTCAAGACCGCCGTGGTCAACAACAACACCTACTCCTACCTACGTCACGCCATGGACTTCCCCCAGTACCTCATTGCCATCAACTTCGGTTCCAGCACGGACACCAGCGACTACACTAAAGCCCCGGTGAACGCTGAGAAGGGCGTGGTTGTCGCCAATACCGGAAACGTCAACGCTACGTACAACGTCAACAGCAACGTCGATCTATCTCGAATCACACTCAACTCTGCTGAAGGACTTGTTATAAAAATCATAAACGCCCCATAACAAAAGCTAATCCTGATTCATTTAACCATGTCATTAGTTAGAGTTTATAGTCAGAAGTCAACACGTGCCACACTCCAACTTAGCATAACACCACTGCCACAGGTTAATTTGCATATCACGTGACCGGATATTTTTTTTTAAAACAAACACGCTTAATCTAAGATTAGAACAGATGAGCCTAATGCAAGTATTTTGGGGGGCTATACATCTTGTTTTGTACAATTATAAAGATATGCTACTACAACTGCGCCAGTGAGGTGCATGGCATTATATATTCATACATCAAAGTGACAGGGGTGCCATTGTACAAAGCGATCTTAGCGCTAAGGTGGTCGTAACTCCCATACCTTAACATAGACTTTCGACAGTCTTAGCGCTAAGGTTGAGATGACAGGACGTATAGGACCGTACAACCAATGTAAACAAAGGATAACTATGCAAATGGAAATAGTTTTTCACGTTTTAGGATATTTTCTCAATGAAACTTAACCATTTCATGACATTTGTTTATCTAGATGTGTAGACTTGTCAAAAATGAAACGGATGAAAAACATATGTAATTTGTAAGATGTGACGAATGGTCACATGGCGTTGGCCTGCGGCAGAGGTACTATGCTGAGCATATGGAACTCTGGGTAGGAGAGTGCACACTTGTATAGCATGTTAATTGTGTTAATTCGTTTATTCATTTCTTATTCAAGTTAACTTTCACAAGGAATAATGTTTTCTATAAAAAATCAAGAGGTCAACTGCCTTGGCTTTGGCTTTGGCTTTGGCAACTTTTGAGATATAAATAGCAGGATCAATTTCCATATCTGCGCTTGTAGAACCTTTTCCCCAAAACAGTTGGATTTGGCCGAAATATGTCCGAATTGTTATCTTGTTTCCTACATCTGACTGTACATCGTAACGTTATATGACAGGACAAGCAGACTCTAAACAAACGTGACGTCTCTTAGACTAGGGTTAGAGTAGCCTCCCTTTGATATAGGGCAGTTACTCTAGCGGACAGACCGATGGATTGCGCGAAAGGCAAGTAGAAACAATTTGTGTAGGCAATTGTAGTAACAATTTGTGTAGGCAATTGTAGTAACAATTTGTGTAGGCTATTGTTGTCTTGCCTTTTTGTAGTTACGTCACTGTTGAGAAACAGGTTTCTGTTGGAACTTTATTGACTGTTGTCACTGTCCGACTGACACATCACTTACCTTCTGACGTAATATATATTAATGCGAATATTCCAGGAAAACTAACAATGTTTAGGTATATAGTTTGTGAGAGATATCCTGTTTTAGGAATAAACACTATGTATTTAGCTCGTTTGTATAATCAGACTGGTTATGATTGCAGACTAACAGAAAATCGCTCAACTTCCCCGTTACATTCAAACTATACCAAATACATGAAAGTTGGAATGAAATAGAAATTCAAATTGAAAAACAAGGAAAACACTTAAGCGGGTAAGAGTATTCGTCTCACGGCAGTCTTCACTTGTTTGAAAACATTACGGTCATTCGGTTGCGAGTTCAACTCCAAGCATAGTTGTGGCCACCTATCACAGTGGGGAGCTTTGACATGTGGCAGTGGTAGTATCTTTCGAGAGCTCCGCGAACGGACTATCGCTGGGAGGAGCTTGATCTTGCCGTTTGTGACGTAACAACAGAAGTGAGCGAGTGAGTATGGTTTTACGCCGCTTTGAGCAACATTTCAGCAATATCATGGCGGGGGACACCAGAAATGGGCTTCACACATTGTACCCATGTCGGGAATCGAACCTGGGTCTTCGGAGTGACGAACGAACGCTTTAACCACTAGGCTACCCGACAGCCCCCGTAACAACAGTAGAATGACATCATACATATTTTTGTGTTTCTTAGTTTTAAGTTTTAAGACAGTTTAAAGTTTAAAAACTCTGTACCAGTCTTGAACTACTTTAGATCGAGTCGCTTTGCTTCGGAAATGTTTTTTGATTAAACATAGCTGATAAAGGATCAAGCTGACCTGGGTAATTTATGAGTGTGCAATGGTATTATTATTATTGTTTTCACATCAGGGCATACCTCTCCACAGCGGCGGGGAAATTGAGACACGAAAACCTTTTATTAGTTCACATCGGAATGACAATCTAGGGCGGGTGGGAGATGGGAAACTCCGAAAAAAATACGGCCAGCCTTAATTACTGTATGTCCCATATTCTTCTCAAGTATGACCCTTTATCTTGTAGTACTTACCCATTCTTTCCCATGCTCGTGGGTACCTCCAAGTAAACGTCTTCGACCAGCATATCCTTCGGCTTTCCCTATTCATACTACTAAATTACTAAGGAAGCTGCGGAAGACCAGTTTCACACACATTCTACCGTCAGACGTATTAGCCATGATATACAGAAAGCACAAACAACGCTCCTACCGCTGTACCTTCCCCAGGGAATGACCAGACATGTGGCCATTGAAACACACGGGACGTAATAACTCTTAAAATAATAACTGGCTTATGAATGGTCAAAACAAGGAACACCATATTAACATGTCTAGTTCATTTATTCATTTGTCAAGATCACAATTGACACGATAGATTACTTTAAGGTCATACCGTGGAGAGGATCTTTGTACATCTACGGTGTTCCTGAAAAACAATGGAAGCTATTTGTGGAATCAACGTAAGCGTTTGTATTGATTAAACAAATATGCACGCAGTTAATAAAAACACATTGGATAATCTCCTACATGGACCTCTGTAAATGATATAAAACTGCTATCAGACTACACCCTGTATGTACCTAGATCTGAATAGCAGCTTCGCTACAATATACCGTCTCCTATCCGGGACAGATTCCATGTAGCATGATCGTGTCATCCCTTGTAAATATTGCAATAGTCTTTGTCCTGATAATAAAGTATTTTTAGCTGTGACATTTCACAACCACTTAAAGCAATGGAATATTCTATTACATGTTGAAGTTTGAACAATTGGAGTATTTGATCATGCAAACTGGTTTGACATTCTACTATTTGAAAATTATCACCAGTTGGACGTTTATTATACGTTTGCCAAGATGGAAGATATATGTTTGTTTGTTTGTTGACGGCGGTCTGCAAATAATCGAGTCTGGACCAGACAATCCAGTGAATGACATCATGAGCATCGATCCACGCATTTGGGAACCGATGACAAACATCAACCAAGTCAGCGAGCCCGACCACCCGACCCCGTTAGTCGCCTCTTACGACAAGCATAACGCCTATTGCGGCAATCATGGGTTGCTGGAGACCTATTCTACCCCGGATCTTCACAGGTGTAGACGAGAGAAGAAGGATATACTAGCATGTGCGTCCTTGTTATTCTATGAACAGCCTTAAAACGGTATGGATACACTGACCTAAAAAAAGAAACGCTATTCCATAAACCAATGTCAAAATGCGTGAGAAATGACTGTCATTACGAAAGAAAGAAATCACCTTAGCATGAAACAAGGCGCTTTTACACACGCTTGAATACACAGCTTGGATTTTGGTTTTCAGGATATTTATACAAAAAGAATTCAATTATAATGACCCTGATTTAAATTTCACACGATGAGCACCTCCATTACGTGGTTAAAAACACGATTTAATTATAGGATTCAGGCCGCCAACCTACCCCCCTCTCCTCCCGACTCTACCCCCCTCTCCTCCCCACCCTTCAAGATAGTCGGACCCTTACCAATCACAATATCTGACATCACACATTCGTCCACAAAGGGCTTGGCCGACTGGATGTCTTCGCCAGCCTTCTTGAGGCCCAGCTTGCACGTGCATTTTCCCGCGACACAATGCTGCGTTAGGGCGAACTGGCACAGCCTGGAGGCACTACACTCCTCCCCGTGCAGCGCAAAGCCCACGGTGATGGGGGCATCCTTGCAGCGGTTGTTGCTGGCGCGTTCGTAGCCTAAAGCCACTGAACAGTTGCATGCACCGGAGATGCACTCGGCTTTTCCCCAGGGGCCGTGACGACATGTTGTTCCGGTTGCGTCTGCGCAGTCCCCACCCAGTTCCACAACTGAAGACGTGAATACACAACGGTTTGACAAGGAATGATGCATGGACAGAACAAACATTGAATCATTATACATATGTGCTTACGATTTGCCACTGTAGGTTGTTGGGTTTTCCTTTACATGCTTCATAAATGATATATATAAAAGGAATAACTGGATTTAATCGACAAATACATAAATAATGAGTAAGTGAAGGAAACAACGAATTAAGTTAAAAAAATAATTGTATTATCAAATTTCACCTGATCACCCAACCCTTTATCATGTTGATGTTTGTTCATGATAATTATTATATTTAGCTACAACACAATACTTATCCATCCTTAATTCGGAAAAAAAGTATTTAAAATAAACAATTAATGTTATACAAGGGGTACAAGAATAGACATTTGGAAATTAAGAAAAATTGGTTTCCTTTTAAATAGATTTTTTTTTTTTAATTTCCTGTCACCGAGATGTATAAAGGAATCAGCGACAATTTCAAAAACAAATGCCGCCTTACTCTTCAAACACTGTGATCCACTACTGCTGGGCTGGAACCCAGGATTACACAGACACTCCTGTTTGTTGTTGAAGACCTTACACGCAGAGTTGGGAGGACAGACATTGGGCCCAGGCTGACAACTCTCTTGGAGTGATGCTCCTGAAAACAACCCATTGTGATTGTAAACTAACATACAGTAAACTACGGTTATAACGAACTCAAAGGGAACTCTTATTCCAGTTCGTTATAACCGCAGTTCGTAATAAGCATATATACAGTATATATACAGCAAAATGACGGGACCAAAAAAGACGGTTCGATATATCCGTCAGCTCATTATAAGCGTGTTCGTTATAAACGTAGCTTACTGTATATCGTTCATTGCTCAATTGTATATTCTCACTAAATCAATATTCGTTTTAAATACAATTATATTTTTAAAATCAAGGCCATATAGAAGTATTCTTTGGGTGCTGATTAAGCGCCATTAAAGTTATTTTTGGATATAATATCTTTAGCTTAGATATTTTCAATTGAAAATTAATTATGCTGATATCAGCTGGGAGGTATAGTTTCTTTTGCCTCTCAGTTTAGAACTCAACACATGTGCATGCAGTCCGTTTAGGATTTAGACTAATCATGTCTTGTATGTGTTTAAATTCTAAAGCCGTGTTACAGTGCAGGATTTACTGTGTCTGGTGGTTGTCTTTGTATCGGTGGATGAAAAACATTCCTCAAACGTTCAGTCTGCCAGAGCGTAGTAAATTATGTATCAACTATGTAGGGACAAGATTGGCATATGGAGGAGTTAGTTTGCTGTCTCCTAGCATGTACGCCCCCGATCCCAGCAAATCCAGAGACGGTAGAGAACTTTGCAAAAGCTGCAATCAAAGGTCTCTTCCAATTGAAGAAATATATAGACCTTGTGAAGAAACATTATATGTTCTGACATGTGAGCAGGGATAGACTTAACATAAGAATGCCTGTTTTCGTACACTTGTAAATACTGTCTTTATATGTTTATAACTCTCCTATGGAGGAATAAAGAATATATATATATATGCTTGCGGTAAAACATACATTAAGTAGTTCGGTGACCTAATATGTCTTACATGGACAAACCATCTCGTTATGTTTGATAAAGCATACAATAGATTGCCAAACAGACATCTGAAAAAAAAACACCTGATTGCATCTCGTAACTCGTTTTAATGGGTGATCTTATATCACAAATCGCCTCGATTAATTAGCTGCTTAACTAGTTTACTATTTTTATGCTTGTAACAAAACTTCACATCTTATAATTCTTATCTGACTGGATGTATTGTTATATTTTAAAAGGAAACATCAGTGATTCAGCGGGCATGACTGGTATATATGTTAGTTTGTTTGTTTGTTTGTTGTTTAACGCAACAATCGGCAATATTCCAGCTATATGACGGCGTTCTGTAAATAATGGAGTCTGTAGCTGACAATCCAGTGATTGACATCATGAGCATCGATCTACGCTATTGGAATACGATGACATGCATCAGCCAAGTCAGCGAGCCTGACCACACGATCCCGTTAGTCGCCTATTACGGCAAGCATGGGTTGCTGAAGAACTATTCTAACCCGGATCTTCACGGGTGTAGAAGACAGAAGAAGGGTATATGTGCGTCCTTAGTATTCTATGAACAGCCTGAAAGAGTGTGGATATACTGACCTGAAAAAGAAACGCTATTCCATAAACCACTGTCACAATACGTGAGAGAAGACTGTCATTGTTTAAACAAAAGAAATCACCTTATGATGAAACAAGGCGCTTTTATACACGCTTAAATACACAGCTGGGATGTTGAATTTCAGGATATTTATACAAAAAGAATTCAATTATAATGTATGGGTTTCTGAAGACCTATTCTATCCCGGATCTTCACGGGTCGGTATATATGTCTGTGATTGGTTTTATACTGTAGTCGTGAAGATCCGTGGTAGAATGAGTACGGCGTTAAACAATATACAAATAAACAAACTGTAATCATGTGGGGAATCCACCCCACGGAGCGACACGCATTAGCGACTACCACCCTGGGTGCCAGTGTACAAAACAACCTCAGCGTTAAGACTGTTGTTAGAGTGTGTTAAGGTAGGGTAGTTACGATCAATGCAGGACTAAGATCGTTTTGTACAACGGCACCCTGCTCATTTAATGCCGTAGTGAAAGTAGAGAAGCTATTCAAGAACAAACCAGGTTTGGGGGGTCAGGGGAGGTAAAATTACCATCAGTCTGCTTAATGTCTTTTGGAATGGACGGCCGAGGATCGTGCCCCCGACCTCCCGTTCTCCGGCGGACGCTCTACCACTACATCACGGAGGCGGTCGATACAGACGAAAGCAGATGACAATTAACATGACCTCAGGATATATAGCACATTTAAGAGGGGCGTCGGAAAGCCTAGTGGGAAAAGCAACAAGAGTAACTGTGGGAAGCCATGGTAATGGTAATGCAAAACGCGGCGTAGCATCTGTTTGTTTGTTTTTTGTTTAACGCCGCATTCACCAATATTCCAGCTATATGACGGCGGTCTGTAAATATCGAGTCTGGGCCACACAATCCAGTGCTTGACATCATGAGCATCGATCCACGCAATTGGGATACGAAGACAAGAATCAACCAAGTCACCGAGCATGACCACCCGATCCCGTTAGTCGCCTCTTACGACAAGCATAGTCGCCTTTTACAGCAAGCATGGGTTGCTGAAGACCTATTCTACCCCGGATCTTCACGGGTCCGGCGTAACATCTCCTCAATCACTTCATCGTCACTAGCATCCATCATGTCGCATCATCAACATGTTCTACACGGGGATCCTTACCTGGACGTAGGATGGCGCATGCTGACACGAGCAACGCTAGCAGAGAAGTCGTCATCATGAGCTTCTGAAACATTCGTTCAATAGAGTTTACTGCTTTACATAAGGAAAATAATCGTATTCATTATCAGTTGATAGTTTATTTTATACACATACAGTAAACTACGGTTATAACGAACTCAAAGGGACCACTAACTTTAGTTTGTCATAACCGTAGTTCGTTATAAGCATATATACAGTATAACAATAGCAAATAGTCGGGACAAACAAATCAGTTCGTTATATCCGTCAGTTCGTTATAAGCGTGTTCGTTATAAACGTACTTTACTGTATATCATTATTATGCCTCAAAGTGAGACTGACCAATCAGAGAGCAGAACTACTGACCCCATATGAGCCCTTATACGACTCGTGGTCGTTGTTTATCTTACATAATGTACTGCGCCCTCTTGGTTTATTCTCCTTGCAGTGTTTTATTGTACGATTGTACGATAACAACGACCGACCACGAGTCGTTTATATCTTATGAGATATCAGCATTACGTACACCCTCTTTAAGGATGTTAGTGAAAAGTACACGCTTTAAAAATATTTACCCTCATGGTGACTTCCCTCTCAAAAATATATAACATAGGTAAACAATTTAGAACAAAACAAATAACAAACAAATATACACCACCAGGACTTACAACGAACTTGGTACAACATCAACATAACATGTACAGAGTGTGCCTAGTTAAGGATGGCTGTGACCTAAGCTTGGTTGGTTGGTTGGTTGTTTAACGCCGCACTCAGCAAAATTCAAGCTATATGACGGCGGTCTGTAAATAATCGAGCCTGGACCAGACAATCCAGTGACTGATATCATAAGCATCGATCCACGCAATTGGGATCGATGCCATGCATCAACCAAGTCAGCCAGCCTGACCACCCGATCCCGTTAGTCGACTTTTACGACAAGCATAGTCGCCTCTTACGGCAAGTATGGGTTGCTGAAGATCTATTCCACCCCGGATCTTCACGGGTCACCAAAGCTTGGAGTAAGATGAAACTGAAATCGAGGCTACTATGGCCGATGATTATGAGCAATAGCTTTTCAAGGTAGCCCGTACTGTATATCATATATTATGTGCGACACGTTTTGGGGAACTAACATGAGGTTAGGCGGATCCCGAGTAAGTCTATGATTTCAAGTTCAGGGTGCAATAAACATATTAACGGTGCAATATCGATATTCGCAGTGCAATATAGATATTAACAGTGCAATATACATATTCACAGTGCAATATACTTATTCACAGTGCAATATCGATATCAACAGTGCAATATACATATTCACAGTCAATATACTTATTCACAGTGCATTATATCTATTCACAGTGCAATATACTTATTCACAATGCAATATACCTATTCATACTGCAATATACCTATTCTTAGTGCAATATACTTATTCACAGTCCAATATACATATTCACAGTGCAAAATACATATTCACAGTGCAATATACATATTCACAGTGCAATATACATATTCACAGTGTAACATTTATATTCACAGTCCAATATACTTATTCACAGTGCAATATACTTATTCACAGTGCAATATACATATTCACAGTCCAATATACTTATTTACAGTGCAATATATACATATTCACAGTCCAACATACTTATTTACAGTGCAATATATACATATTCACAGTCCAACATACTTATTTACAGTGCAATATATACATATTCACAGTCCAACATGCTTTTTCACAGCGCAATACACATATTGGATACATATTCACAGTGCAATACACTTAAAACTATTTCAACGTAAACAGGAATCCAATTATTATTTTGTGTATAAATACCAATAACGAAATGTATTCTTTGAGTGAGTGAGTGAGTGAGTGAGTATTGGTTTACGCCGCTTTTAGCAATATTCCAGCAATATCATGGCGGGGAATAGAACCCGGATCTTCGACGTGACGAGCGAACGCTTAAACCACTAGGATACCCGACCGCCCCCTGCAAAAATAGAGTGAAGCCTATCTAATATGAGAAATACTTACGGGTGAATTATACATACAACATATTGTCCGCCTAGGCATCTGGCTTCTTACTTACAATTTTAGGTAAGAAAACGAAGGAATTAATTTTGAGATGAAGACTTTTCTTCACAAACATACCTGACTGGTGAAATCGTAGCACGATGTTGACGATGATCCCGTGAGAGCATACAGTACAGGAAAGAGCGACGCTACGAGAGTTGTATATTTTCATGTGGCCGCGCCCATCTTTCGTTATGTTAGCTGAGCATGCACGCGAAAAACGAGAGACGTGTCGAGGCGGGGATAACCTATATATGTCACGCCCAATGTTTCCACATCTATTGTCACGTTAAACCACCCGCCTGGCAAAGAATGAGTTCATGTGTCGCGACACCCTGCAGGAGTACCGGGGGTAGATGTAGCTTCTCGGGAGACTATTTATAGAGGGGTATAAATGATCGTGGGCATTGTCACCTGAAATCAGATTTAAAATCCCACTTGCAAATGTATCAGTATGCTACAAAGAAAAAATACAATTCAAATAGAGGACATTTTAATAAAAAATCTAGTTTGTCTGGTAAAACAATCCCACTTGCAAATGTATCATTCAAATAAAGGACATTATGATAAAAAGTCTAGTTTGTCTGGTAAAACAATCCCAGTTGCAAATGTATCAGAATGCTACAAAGAAAAAAATACAATTCAAATAATGGACATCATAATAAAAAATCTAAACTGTGCGGCAAAAGAAAGTATAGGTCGAGTTCCAGGATCGATAAAAAAATAACAAGAAGAGGTTTTGTTGTGAATTATTATATAATCTAGGGAGGGGTAACAAATGATTGATCAACCACAGTTTGAATGAAATTGTGCAATCACAGGTAATGTGAGCTCAAGGTAAACAATGGTGGGGTAAGAAATTTCATTTTCAAAAGTTGTCTGAAATGTCATCAAAAAATTGTCAGACACACTACAAGTTCATTGTCGACACAGTTGCCTTCAATAGCGTGTATGACCTCCAGCTGCCTCAATGCATGCTGTGATACGCCGACTTATCGATGCGTCAGTCTTCTGATGACGTCGACTGGAATCCGTTGCCACTCGTCTCTCAGGGCCTGCTGCAATTCTTGTCTGTTGACGGGAGGCTGATGGCGTGCTCTAATCTGTCTGTCAAGATGGTCCCACAGATGTTCAATAGGATTCATATCGGGTGAGTGGGCAGGCCAGGGCAAAACGTCAACGTTCTGCTGGTTTAGAAAGTTCCTAGTCAGTCTTGCAGTATGGGGCCTGGCATTGTCGTGTTGAAACAATGTCCCCTGCTGTTGGTTTTGTAAGAACGGAAGCACAACTGGCTGCAACACTTGGTCTCTGTACTGCATAGCGTTCAGGTTTCCCTGTATAATCACCAAATCAGTCTTCTGATCTCCACAAATACCGTCCCACACCATGACACCTCCCCCGCCGAATGGATGGACCTCTCGAATACACGCCGTAGCCAAACGTTCCCCTCTGCGTCGATAAACTCGTTCTCTGCCGTAATTTCGAAACAAGTTAAACCGACTTTCATCTGTAAACAGCACTCGATGCCAATTTCTCACTTGCCAGCGTCGAACCTGCCTCGCCCATCGCAGTCTCAGGCGTCGATGTTGAGCAGTCAGTACCATTCCTCGGAAAGGACGATACGCTCGGATTCCAGCAGCACTAAGTCGTCGTAGTACTGTATGTTGGCTAATGGGATGTCCCAACGCTGTTGCTGCCGTCGCCGTTACGAATCTGTTTCGCAGGTGAATGAGCCGTATCTGACCGTCTCCCAGTGGTGTTGTCACTCGAGGTCGTCCAGTTCTAGGCCTGTCCTGTGTCCTCCCTGTCTGCCTGTACCGTTGAATCAGCCTGGCTACTGTCAATGGTGTACAACCAAACCTTCTGGCAAATTGGACCTGTGCTGCCCCCATTTCGGCCATACCGATGGCTCTCTCTCTCTGCTCCTGTGACAGTCGTGGCATTTTTGTGTGTGCTTTCATCACGTGTGGTTTTATCCTGCAGACGAACGCATTTATACAGCTAACATGCGCGTGCACGTGTTTCACCATTTTGTTGTCACCGCACGAGCGCCGTCAAAGGTGGCGCGTTCGGGTGAGGTGTTTTTTGGTACCTGTTCCTGGGCAGTTATATTCCCAATACCAACTTTCCACTAGTTATCGCTGTTTTTAGGAAAATTACAAATGGCCAACCTATACTTTCTTTAGCCGCTTAGTTTAGTTTGTCTGGTAAAACATGAAGCATTCAGGACAATAAAATAAAGCCATGCACACACAGAAATCAGTAGTTAACCAGAAAGCATTTTCCTTATGAAAATTACATGGAACTTGCATGGAACAAACAATCTGAAATCAGTTCAAATATTTGTTATTTGAAATTTGATACAGTTTGTATTCAGACTGTAATCACATTTTTCAAAGACCCGAGACGGGTTGATTTCAACTCGGGCTGCCAGATTTTCAAACCCCCTGCCCGACGGTCGGGTTATATTTCATATGTGACAATATTCAAAATATTTCCCGATGATAATCATTAATTCACATGTTAAGATGAATGATAAAATGTAACCAAAAAGAAACCCCGTTGGCTTATCCTGAGAAACATATGATTATAGTGGGCAGGCAGGTTTTGGTCAGGGCTGGCAAGTATTTCAGCTAGCCAGTCCTGTGGTCTGGCTGAATTTTTTGGGAGTTTCATACCCTGATAAAGCCATGCACACACAGAAATCAGTAGTTAACCAGAAAGCATTTTCCTTATGAAAATTACATGGAACTTGCATGGAACAAACAATCTGAAATCAGTTCAAATATTTGTTATTTTATATTTGATACAGTTTGTATTCAGACTGTATTCACATTTTTCAAAGACAATTATTATTTTTTTAATTATTGATGCAGCCCTTCCCGACGTAAAGCTTTACAATACACCTACGGTTGTACCCCTTTCTAGTCGACGTTCAGCTGCATCCTCAGCCTACATATAATATATCCCTGGAAACTGACATTAACATAAATCAATTATACGATCCATTAGGACGTAGATCACAGAGCCCAGTCAACTCTAGAAAACATAAACTGGGAGACGAATTCGCCTCATGTCTGTGGAAGGTTTGCTTCTTGTCTCCCTGACACTCCTGTTCATGAAGGATGTCTCAGTGTCCGGCAGCGACCTTGACCACACTCCCTATGGAGCAATGATGTGCCACCGTCTCTGTCGAAGAACGGGAATGTGCCTCGCCTACCGTATGGACACTTCAAAGATATCGTGCACCCTCTCCTTTAAACCAGCACGTCTCAGAAAACTCAAGGGATACACTGAAATGACCGTAAATACTCTTGCTTTTCATAGTTTTCCTAATACATTTGACTTATTCTCTGTGTAGAGTTGCGCCTATCGTCCTGTCTATGATCTGATCTGTTGGCCATGCGCTATCGTTGTAATTATGATCCTTGGTATGTGGACTTTGCGAGTGGTCAACGTTTGCGATCTGAGTAAACCTGGCTTTCCCCACGAGTGACGTTGACGTGACGGGACAGTAGTGACATACAGTTGGGGCGTGATAAAACATTTCCAAACGCCCAACGTTTCTTTAAGGTCCTATTGTCTGGCTACAAGCACGGGCATGGTGCTCACAGGCAAGGTAAAATATTTTTGCACTTATATAGCGACGTGCATGCACGTGTGTGTGTGAGTGTGTGGCTGCTTGAACTAGTCCGGACTGATGCCGATTTATAGTGCAAGCACACTGAGATACCATGCCGCAGTTTAACATGAATACCCCACTCAGACACAGTATACTAACTCTGAGCTGACCAGTCCTTGTTTTAGACCCTTCATGTCGAGCGCCATACAGGGTAACAACAAGTACCATCTTTTAACGTCTTTTAGTATCATGTGGCCAGGGATCGAACCCCAGACCTTCCACTCTCCTGGCGGACGCTCTACCACTAGACCACGGAGGCGGTCTTGACAGGCAGGGAATTGTGAATCAGGGTGAACCTGGCATTTGATTCTACGATCAAGAATTCTGACAATACTCATCCATGCCCTCTACAACGATCTTGCTGTTTGCTGTGCCAATACTAGGTAAAGTGGGGTCATCTTCCCCAGGCAAGTGAGTTAACTGACTACAAAAGTCCAGTTTCCACTCTTGCCGAACTAGGCTGGTATTATGGAGTTACAATTTGGCTGGGGCGGTCGGGTAGCCTAGTGGTTAAAGCGTTGGCTCGTCACGCCGAAGACCCGGGTTCGATTCCCGACATGGGTACAATGTGTGAAGCCCATTTCTGGTGTCCCCCGCCGTGATATTGCTGGAATATTGCTAAAAGCGGCGTAAAACCATACTCACTCACTCACTACAATTTGGCTGGACTAACGAGTCTATGCATAGTTCAATTAAAATCGCGCAACGAAATCGAAATCCGGTTCGTAAACTGCCATGCAGATTTCGGTCGATTGCAGGATTTGCAAAGTATGTGTACCTCTAACTCGTTGTGAACAGATATTTTCTAAATCTTTTCATGTTTTTAATGAAGGTGCTCACGTGATTTAATGCACTTCGCGATGTAAGACTCGTTTTATCACAATACAGATCTTGGTTATCGATCAGATCGTCTTAGCTCGGCGCCGCCATTTTCTCAGCGATTCTAACTCCCGAGGACTCCCGACTGGGGTTGTATTTTGGGGGTTGATCAAAGACTAACAGAGGTACGATTCTGAAAAAAAACGTTAATGCTATATTTCACACACACACACACACACACACACACACACACACACACACACACACACACACACACCCAAACACACACACCCAAACACACACACACACACACACACACACACACACACACACTCACGGTAATGTTTCTAGGTTTGTCAGCACCATACCAACGTGCTCATGGGTTTCCCCAGAGTGGGACCTGCATCATTTTGGGCTTTCCACCCACATCAATCTGACACGCCGTGATATAACTCGAATACAACCCCGATCGGGTTTTACTCAGCTCACTCACTCACTCACTCACCCACTCACTCTTCTTTTATCAGGATAGTTTTAGCCTCATCAACAAGTGCAATAGTTTATGGATAGATTTTACTTCTTTGACAGAGCAAGATAGATATATACACAGTAAAAAAAGTGTTGCACCCCCACATTAATACGTTTGATACATCACAACATTTAAAACGCCCGACTCTGGTTTTAATGGTAGGTATTCCTTGGGGATCTGATGTTAAATGTGTAATGTTTTCG